CTCATCATAGAGTAATGGGCTCGTTGTTTGGGCCGGGTATCTTGGGCCTTCTTGATCCAGGTATTGAGCCTCTGGATCAATATCCCAACACTAGGTTTTTTGTAATTGAAAAAGTTACATTTTTTAGATTCAATTGTATGATTAAACAATATTATTATAATAAAGTTAATAGTAAAATAGTTTGATTGCAAGATTTGCCGTGACTAATATCAATAATTTCTCGTTGGATGAAATAAAAGACCAGAATCACTTAAACCGAATGGTGCAGCCCATTAATTATTTCTCTTATACATTAATTATTTGTCATATTGGAGTTTTAGTTTGTATATCATTGAAGCAGCCCATGATAAACATGGTGCTCCCACTATCAAAACACGCGTGTACGGTTCACGTGTGAACATTAATTTCTTATTTTAATTTGCTTTTTTAATTTTGTCTCAGTATCAGGATAATGTAACTCTCGTATTAGAAAATATAATTCACGTTGATAAGAAATGTAACTGTAAACAATTCGAAATGTAACTTGTAACACGAAGTATAAGAAATAAAACATCAATGTCAATGCAAACAATAAAAAAAAGAGTCTAATTGCTCAATTACTTTACAGGAATAGTGAATATGTTTTGTTTTTAAAACTGAGTCCAGAAAAAAAATATTTTTTTAAAACTTATTTTTTTGCCATAAACTTCATTTCTTTGCCAAAAAATCATGTTTTTTTGCAAACAAATGTTTTTTATTTGTTTCTATAGCAAGGGTTTATTTTGTAATGTAACTCGTGTTATGGAAAATGTAAATCATGTTGATGGAAATGTAACTTATGTATATACAAAATGTAACTTGTTGAGACAAGTCCAAATGTAACTCGCGCATACAAAGTTGTAACTTGCGCATAAGAAGATGTAACTCTATATACTATCAAATGTAAACAATGAGTCTAATTGCTCAATTAATTTACATAAATAGTGAGTATGTCTTTTTCTAATATTAAGGAAATAAAAAATTAAAGAAATATCATTTTTTGCCAAAAAAGATTTTTTTTTTTGACAAAAATCATTTGTTTGAAAACAAATATTTTTTGTTTCATAGCATGGTTTTATTTTGTGATGTAACTTGTGTTATGGAAAATATACCTCATGTTGATAGAAAATCTAACCTAGGTAAATGCATAATGTAACTTGTTGAGATCAGTTCAAATGTATCTCGCAAATAAGAAGATGTAACTCACGCATAAAAAGATGTAACTTACGCACAAGATGTTACTCCATATACTATCAAATGTAACTCCAGAAATTGTCTATAAATATAACTCACACACGTGAAAATATAAAGCACACATATGAAGATGTAATATCATATTTTATCAAATGGAAACCGAAATAAACAAATTTAATTTCTGAAAAACACTAAAAAATATAAAAAAGAGATAAGAAATACTCCCTCCGTCCCGCTAGAAGGTTTCCGTGAACGGTTTACGATGCTTGACTGACGATAAAGCAACTGAATCCATGTTCACACTCTGATTAGTTTTAGTAAATAAAATTAATATATTCAGAAACTACATTAAACCCACTACAAAGGCTGATAAAAAATGAAAATTTGATAAAAAATTGATTTATAAAGTAAATGATTAAAAATGATTTAAGTTGACCATGCAAATAGTGGACGAGAATCTTCTAATGGGACGGAGGTAGTATATTATAGGAAAAATTGAATGAATATGAAAATATATATAATAAAAAAAAGTATATAATACAAAAAAATATTACAGAAATAAAAATAGTGTATAAATGTGAAATGTAACATACTTATTTTATTTAGATTAATATTACAAAAAATATTAAAGAATTAAAAAAGTGTATGAATATGAAATTTAACACACTAATTTTATTTAGATTAATATTTTTTGTTATGAATGGATAAAGAATAAAATATAGATTGATTTGTAATTTAAGTTAAAGATAAATAAAAGTAAAATTGTAATTACAATTTTAGTATTTGATGGAGGAAAAAAGAATTGTAGAAAAGGAAAGAAAAGAAGTAAAAAGGAAAGGAAATTAAGAAAAGAAAACACATACTAAAAGGAAAATAAAAAAGATAGTAAGTGGGATCAGCACAGTAAGTTTATGGTGTGTCGATCCCACGATATAATTTGCATCGAAGTTTGGTAGGATACCCAAGATTGAAAATTGGGTAGTAGGTCTCAATTTTAAAGAGTAATGGAATTGAAGAAGTAGTACGTAGTAGATCGAGTGAAACAAATCAGCTGTTTGTGTAATGTCGTGAGGACATAGAAACTAGAAAGCATGGAAGTAAAGGCAGCCCATCTCAAGTTTCCAATTCCATCATGTTACCTTTCGAATTTTCTTATAAATTGTCGGCAGCCCACACTCCCTAATTTTTTCCACATGAAGTCCGTTGTAAGTGACGTAATCGTACACATAGTCAATTATAAAATTTAATCATAACTGCCTAAATATTTATTTATCTATAATACTACCAAGTATAAACAAAATAGTATAAAGTAACAAATGTGAACCTATATTTCACATACAATAATAGTAATTGTTGGAGAATGATAATGGCCCACTTATTTGTGTTAACAACATATCCCCTGATAAAATGTTAATTGGGTATGACCCGATTTATGAACCGTCATGGGCAGATCTAGGGGAGGATCAACCTAAGCCACAGTCTATCACAAATGTCTTAATTTTTAAGTTAAAAGATCGGTGTAACTTCTTTTCAAAATTATTTTTTGTACCAATCAAGTTAAGTCCAGTGTCTTGGCTCCGCTCCGCGAAACGCTACTAACGTTAATGAGTCAATTGGCCCAATAAGCAATTAAATATTCTTGAACCAATTTTCGATATAACGCCAGACAATATTTGATGTGGCTCATTATACCAGCACGAGTCTGTCACTCTCTTACTTGAGTAGTAGATTCAATTAAAAGGAAGTAAAAAAAGGAAGTATTTAATATGTTTCGTGTGAATGCCTTTCCGATTGAATTGTTAAGTGAAATTTCGTATGTAAGTTCGACTTAATGAATGCCTTTCCGATTGAATTGTTAAGTGTAACTAGACTTAATGAATAAAATGATGAAAATATTTCATCAAAAAATTCCACCGGGAACGGCCCCAAATGGCTACGACCGGACAGAGCCTCCCATATAAGGGCTTATTTGACCTTTTTATGTAAGTTCGAAAACTTATTTGACCCTTTTCCCTTGTTAAAAAGATCGCTTGATGTGGTGAGAGAATTTCTTTGCGATCGTGTGACACTACTTGCATCGTTTTCATTTTGTCAATCGTTAGATACTTATATGGAATATTGTCTTAAAGAGTTTTTTTCCATTTTTTATTTCCGACTATTGAGTCATTGACACTTTTGGTACCTGATTTTTATTTTTTTCAATTCTAGTCTTCGACTATTGTACTGGAGACATTTTTAGTCCCTGACTTCAAAGTCACATTTAGTCCTCTGAGCATTATCAAATTGACACTTTGAATCCTTCCACTACGATTTTGATACAATAAATGGAGGACTAAAAATGTTATTATTATAATAGTTGAAGGACCAAAAGTGTCACTTTTATGAAAGTCGAAAGACTAAATATAGAAATTTTCTAAGACATATACGAAAAGTGTCTCTAGCAAGATAGTCAAGTCCAGGGATTTCAAAATAAAATTGAATGTTTTTATTCTCCAAATATTGTCATGTTTGAAAAATACTATCATGATCGAAAATAAAGTCATTAATGATAATAAATAATGTCATATTGAATGCCTAGTACCATGACTGTTTGTCATGTAACTACATTCATGTTACTCCTATTTCGGAAAATTTCCGTAATGGCTTCAATATTTGTAGTTTGACTTGGCACACGAGTAATTTTAACAAAATTATTTTCAAAGTAAAAGGGATTTTAATAGTTAGTCACAACTTCCTCCTTCTCACATATTAAAAATTAATAATATAACTCACATGAGTAGCTCAGTTGGTTGAGTGGTGGGAAAGTTGAAAGAATGAGCAAGGATCGAAACCCGCGACGGTCGTGTGAAGATTACAACTCCTGTGTGTTAGAATGGACATCCGGTGCGCACGGATACAAGGTCTACCATCATTGGACCGACTGAGTCACCATGACTTACGACGTCCCAAAAGTCTTGACATGTCAGGGAGTAGGGGGGGGGGGGCTTGGGGGGGCTTGGGGGGGCTTGGGGGGGATTCAATCTTTTTGGAAAAATATTGATAATATATTGTCTTAATTTCCTTTTCAAGTTGTCCCAAAATAAATGTTTTTAGCTTTTTGGCTTTTTGGTAAGAAATATGTGATTCATATCATTTCACTTTATTCTACTCAAATCTCAACTAGAACTTTTATTTTCTCAATCACTTTAATAATTGTGTTAAATTAAAACAAAACAACCAATATGAGACGGAAGTAGTATTTAATATTGAGTACCTAGTAATTCACTTTCCTCAAAATTAGTAACTCGTTTTGACTAATTGGCTTTATCAAGTAAAAAAACAATGCTCCAATAACTAAGTTTTGGCTTTAAAATTGTAAGCATATTCCGGAATTAGGATGTTTTCATTTGCATTGTAATTCGTTGATCTGATCGGTTTGGTCTGATCTGAATTGGTATGATATGGTCTGGTAAATGTCTGGTGTCGGTGTTTTTATAACTACGGAAGTCTGATTTGATCTAGTCTGTTTAAGTCTGATCTGGTCTGATTTGGTCTGTTTAAGTGTGGTCTGGTCTGAGATTGAAAACAATCCAAGTGAAAAACATCCTTTAATCATCCGAGATTTTAGATGCTAGCGAGTGTAGTAGGTACATATATGTCGAGCTCTGGTCAGAGGCCCAACGCAACCAAATGGACCGGCTCTTAGTTTGGGCTACTTGCTATGGTACGTGGGATGTAGGGCCAGACCAATATCCAAACAATAAACAAATGCGCTGCTCGTGTGATCGTGTCTACTTTCGATTTGCTCATCTATATAAACTGTCTTCTATGCAGAGGAAGCCAATGCATATGATTTAGTTTACTGTTATATATCCTATGATTTCAGTTATGTTAGGTGACATTCTTGTTTTATTATCAATCAATAAGCACTAAAGCAGCCCCACACGTCCACACCATTCCTCCCTCCTAAGCATTTATATACTTTCTGCCTCAGCTTTTTCCTCCAAATTGATTCAAAGAGCCAAAAAAAGGAGGAAAAAAAGTGTTTCTCATATTTGAGACTCCACCAAAAAAGATGAAGAGTTTAGAATTATTACCACTTCTTTTAATCATTTCTGTTCAGCAAAGCTGTTTGTGGGCTTCAGGGAAAGCTGATGGGGATGGGTTCATAAGAACAAATGGAATCCATTTCAGTGAGAATGGGTACCCTTTCTATGCCAATGGATTCAATGCTTACTGGTTGATGTATGTGGGATCAGACCCTCCCCAGAGGTTCAAAGTTACAGATGCCTATAAAACTGCATCTTCACATGGCCTCACTGTTGCTAGAACTTGGGCTTTTAGTGATGGTGGTGCTTACAGGCCTCTTCAATACTCTCCTGGTTCTTACAATGAAGATATGTTCAAGGTATTGAGAAAATTGTTTAATTGATCTTGTTAAATTATGTTAGTGCACAGTAATTGTCATGTAACTTTACACACATGTTACATTCTATAACTATTTTTTTTTTACCCTAGAAAGTTGAAAACTTTTCAAAATGTACTTAACTATTTATGATGCACAAATTTCATAGCAAATATTGCATTTTAATTTGGTCTCTCATTTACTCTTGCAGTATATTTATTTACAGTATATTAAATTTGTTTCATAATGATTTGTTTATGACATTTTTATTCATTGAATGTTGAATTTGAAGGGGTTAGATTTTGTGATATCGGAGGCAAGAAAGTATGGGATTAAGTTGATATTAAGCTTAGCAAACAATTATGATAGCTTTGGAGGAAAGAAACAATACGTGGAATGGGCCAGACGTGAAGGGCAGTCCCTCTCATCTGATGATGATTTTTTCAGGAACCCAGTTGTTAAGGGCTACTACAAGAACCACATAAGGGTAATTAAGCTAGCTACAACTAAAAAAATCATTGTTAAAAAAATTAAAAAAATACTATTCGATCTCCTTCTCATTGTAAGGTTTCAATTTCTTTTTTTGAACGTCTTATATAAAGGTTTTAATTTATGTTTTAAGAAACAATTATTACTTATTTAATATCAAGTATTAAGAATAATATATTTATAAAATCACAGTTATCATCAATAACTTTATTTGTTATACACGATATAAACTATTGAGATAAACTTAGGGCATGTTTAGTTTGGGATTTGGAAAGGGCTGGTGGAGGGTATTTATCACAACCGGGAGGATTATCACAACTTTGCCGTGTGTATATATGCAGTCTGTGCTTAACAGAGTCAACACGTTGACTGGAGTTGAGTATAAAAATGATGGGACTATCATGGCTTGGGAGTTGATGAATGAGCCCAGATGCACCTCTGATCCATCGGGAAATACCATTCAGGTTCTTACAACTAATTATTGGTATATCTGTTCCACTAACATTTGAACATGAGGAAGTGATGTAGTCACTCAAAAAATAGACTTATGTAATTAATATTGACAGGGTCGTCTAATGAATTTGGAGGCCCCGATTTCTAAAGGAGGATTGAGGCCCTCTAAAACAAGAGAAAAATACAAAGTTTAATAATGAAATAAAAATAAACTTGAATAATTAAGTGGAATATAAGTTTTATAATGTTTAAAGTGCATAAATAGACAATCTAGAAGTTATACACCTTTTAGAATCCAAATAATACAAAACATATAGAAAAATGAACCTATAACTACTACTACATACTACTTTTTTTTGGGGGGGGGGGGCGTATAAGAGTGGGTCCCCGTGCAAAACATCTATTGCACCTCCTAAAAGACGACCCCGAATATTGATTGATAAAGAATAAAGTAAAAATAATTCAGAATTAAATAAATTTTATCAAATTTGATATGAGATCGTCTTGGTGAGACGGACAAAAAAAAAGTTATGTAAATCTGATTGAGAATTGTGACAAACCAGACTCTTACTACGATGTGACAAAACAGACTCTTAGGATGTTTTTACTTGGACTGTTTTCAGTCTCATACCAGACCAGACTAGATCAGATCAGACTTTTATAGTTATAAAATACACAAAGACCTGACATTTACCAGATCAGACAAGATCAGAAAAGACCAGTTCATACCAGACCGGACTAGACCAAACCAATCAGACCAGAAAATTCCAGTCCAAGTAAAAACATCCTCATTACCATATGACAAACCAGACTCTTACTACCAAATGCCAATTAATCACCATTTTTTAACCATCATCTGAGCGTAACTTTTATTGTTAAATGACAGGCTTGGATAAGGGAGATGGCCTATTATGTGAAGTCTATAGACAAAAACCACATGCTAGAAGCTGGGCTGGAAGGGTTTTATGGTCAAACAACACCTCAGAGGACTCATCTCAATGCCTTCAACATAGGAACAGATTTCATTGCAAACAACCAAATTGCAGCCATTGATTTTGCCACTGCCCACTCCTATCCTGATCAATGGTATACACCCCGTGCCTCAAACAACAAATATACGATAGTATAATATAATATCTCCGTCCCTAAAATAATTTTATTCCACTATTCACTTAATCCCTTTTATATATCAATATTTTATCAAATTTGAATGATTTTTTTGTGACTTTGTAAAATTTTTAATGTAGTTTCTGCATGTGAAAATTTTACTCCGTGTTTACTAAAAAGAACCTGAGTGTTGACAAAGATCAGTTAACCTTATTGTTGGTCAAACATCGTAAACTGCAATTGGAAGTTAATTTAGGGATAGGGGGAGTATATACTTTTCAGTCCTAGACTATGGTTCTCGTGCCAAAATGTTACAATTATTTAGACTATAATTAAATAAGGAATTCGAGTTTAGTTTGATAACTATATTTATGAGTGTATAATATAATGAAGCCATTGACGATAACTATGATCTTATAGATGTATTATTTTTAATATTTAATGACTAGATTAATGTTTAAGAGGCTTATTACTATGTATTTCCTAGGATAGAAATAAGAAGCTTTAGTTGGAATGTTCAAAAAAGAAAATGAGAATCTTAAGTCGGGACGGAATGAGTACAAATTTGCTCACCACAAATGAATAAAGTAATAAAGTGACTTATCATAAAATGTTAAGCTTTAATGCACCAAAACCTCTTATGAAACATAAATTTGACGCATTAACTTCATGTGATTTAAAAATGCATCAAACCTCATGTGTTATAGTTATTCATTCACAAAATCCCCTCTATCAATTATCGTGTATAAAATAAGATGTTTGACACATTTTTTAAATCACAAGAGACTAATGCGTCCAATTCATTTATTACGATTGGTGTATTAAACCCCAAAATGTTGCAAACACATTATTCCTATATTCCACTGTTCTACAAAATAATGGCACTAAGCTACCATTTCATTTTAATCATGATGCTTTACAAAAAAAAACACATTTGACACTCACTTAAGAAAGTTAGAAATATAAAGCTCAATGATTTGATGTTGGTAACCAGGCTTCCGAAGACAAATGATGAAAGCCAGCTAACATTCCTCACCGATTGGCTTAATGCCCACATCGAAGACTCTCAGTACATTCTCAAGAAGCCATTGCTCATCGCCGAGTTCGGGAAATCTTGGAAGGACCCCGGCTTCACCCCCTACCAGAGGGATGCCCTCTTCAGGGCTGTCTACTACTCCATATACTCCTCCGCCGAGCGCGGCGGTGCTGCCGCCGGAAGTCTGTTCTGGCAACTTTTGGCTGACGGAATGGAAAATTTCCGCGATGGGTATGAGATTGTATTGAGCCAGAGCACTTCCACTGCAAATTTGATATCTCAGCAGTGCCACAAGCTTTCCCAGATCCATAGGATTTTCGCCAGAATGGCGAGTACTGATAAGTTGAAGAGGGCCAACAGGGGAAAGCAAATTGGGAATGGGAATTGAGAAAAACAAAAGGAAGAAATAAATTATACTAGGATCAAAATGTAATAGGGAAACAAGAATTAGCAAAGAAGGGTTTAATCCCACAGGAAGCCTCAACCTTATATTTATAATAGAGGTTTGTGGAATTACAAATATGTCCTACAACTATGTATTATTACATCCCTGAATCTGTACGGGAGAAACAATGTGCAGATTGAATCTCAAAACTCAAAATGTTGGCTACATAAATTCTTAGTAAAAATATCTTCAAGTTGAAACTGTGTAGGAACATATTTGACAATGGGATTCTCATGGACCACACCTTCACGAACAAAATGATAATTAATCTTGACATGTTTGTTTCGATCATGTTGTGTTGGATTGACAATCAAATAAGAAGCAAAGACATTATCACAATGTAATTGAATTGGAGTAGAGATAAAGATTCCCATGTCAGCAACCAAGGAGCGAATGAAAATAGTGTCCTGGATAGTATAGGCAATGGCACAATATTCCGCCTTTGTGCACGATTTGGAGACCGTTGGTTGCTTCTTGGATCTCTATGAGATAAGATTATTACCTAAAAAGATGACATAGCCTGTAATAGACTGACTAGTGTCCGGATAACCAGCCCAATCAATATCAAAATAAGCAACAATAAGTGAGATACAATGATCAGTCTGGAGCCATAATCCATGCATAGTTGTGCCTTGCAAATACATGTTTCTTTTCACAACAAAGAGATGACACGTACGAGAAACATGCATAAACTGAGAACCCAGATGTACGACATATGTATTATCAGATATAGTTATAGTTAAATATTATAAGACACCTACCATACTCCTGTACTCAGTGTCATCAGTTAAGAGTTCTCTATATGTAAGAGAGAGTAGTACGAGAAGGTAGGGGAGTACGAACATGTTTAACTATGTGTAGATGAAACCGCCGTAACAAATTAGTAACATATTTGTGTTGAAAAAAACAGATCATGAGGTGTACGACGTGCCTGAATACCCAAGAAATAATGAATATCCCCCAAATCCTTCATAGCAAACTGACGAGAGAGGGTGTGTATAACAGACTGAACAAAAGACTTCGATGACCCAGTAATCAGAATGTCATCAACATAAAGAAGAATATAAACCACCTGGCAAGGTTTTTAAAATCATATTTTTGAATCGAATCGATAGATGTTTTTGAAAATCGACTCGTAAAATCGAATTGCAAATCGTAAGATTTTATTAAACATATCTTATTTTTATAAAATAAATAAATATTAATATTAAGTTGCAAGTTAATGATATTATTATATCATTTCATGACATAAAATTATACCTACAAGGTTCAAAACAAGACCTATAAACTATTTTAATAATGTAAATGTAGTGAATAATAGAGTTAATGACCCATATAGGACTAAAATTAGTTTCATGTGCACAAATAGGACTAGAAACGTGAGTGATGTTTCGTAGGACTTAAAAGGACTGCTTTACCGATTTTATCCTGGAAGCATAATTAATTGGTTTTTAATTAATTAGTTTAGACGGCAGTTTCCGGAAAAAACAGGCAAACATCATGCAATGTTCAACCACCGAATTAACCCCTCCCTAGTTCCACCATCCATCGCTGCCGAGTGGTGTCGCCCAACCAGCGTTGCAATTTGTCGTCGTCACCGTCCTCCACCATCTCTGGTGCACCACCACTCCACCTTCGTGCAACGTCGTCGTCATCACAACTTTGACGCCATACATCTGCCATTACGTTGGAAGATTTAGCTTTCAAAAGTATTTGAAATCTGCTATCAATAAGGTTTTTCATATCTGCCATAAAGTTGGCAGATTAATTTTGAAGTTTTACACGAAACTGTCATAAATTTGGCAAAAATAAAGTCAATAACCAAAAAATCAAAAAAAATGAAATAAGCACTACAGCATAATCGAAAATTAAGTATAAGAGGCGAATGACAAAAAATTAGCAAAATCGATTTACACAAAAGCGTTTTTGCTATTATATGGGTGTTGGTGTACACATTTCTGCCGTAAACTTGGCAAAATCTGAAGCCATCATCCAAACTTTTGGAAAATAAGAACTTTTAAAAAAACTTAGAAATCAGAAACAAAAAGTCAGAAAATACAAAACAGGATTCCTAAAATTGGCAAAATCAGTGTCAAAACCCAGGAAAACATAAGAATATGAGGAAAACTAAAAAAAAGGAAAACTAGAAAAATCAATGGCAAATCTCATTTAAATAGAGGGAATAAGAGAAGGAGGGGAAGGAGGAGGAGATCGGAGAAGAGGAGGAGGAGGAGGAGGAAGAGGAGGAGGAGGAGGAAGAGGAAGAGGAGGGGGAAGGGGAAGGAGGAGGAGGAGGAGGAGGGGGGGAGGAGGAGGAGGAGAAGAAGAAGTGATACATTAATGGAAAAACTGCATTAACGTTATGAGTAACATGAGAAGGCAAGTGATACATATTAAAACAACTAGAACTACTTATATCCATACCTGGAGCCCCAGTTAGAGCCATGCCTTGCTGCCCCTGACCATGGAACGTCTGTCCGTGCGGCACTGGATACTGGTTGTAAGTTGTATGTCCTCCAAACACTATTGTTGCATTATGGGTCCCATGTACATGCATGGCCCCTGCCACGATTACCATGAGCGTGTCCTTCACGATAACCTTAGCCACCACCTCTCTGACCGCCACCCCCTCGAGCTAAACAGCCACGATCAGGAGGTTGAAAAGCAACGCCCGACCCAGCTAAGTCTTGATATACCGGTGTGGAGTGTTGAGACCGAAGGAGGGCATTCTGTTAATCTTGAGAAAGAATAATCGGTCGCAAGGTATCGATAGTGGCATTCCACGGAAAATAAGTGATGGCGTGATCGAGGACTCATACTCTGTTCCTAGACCATGAACCGTGTGATCAATTAATTCACGATTGCTATCGAGAGAATTAATTGCAGCTAGAGAATCAACCATGATCTTAATTTCCCTTAAGTATTGATCCATGGACTCAGATTCTTACTTCTTAATGCATGACAAATTGCATTTTAATTCCATGGGTCGAGCAAGACTAGTAGACATAAGACGTGTCTGAAGTCGTTCCCAAATAAGAGGAAAATTTAAGATCATGCACATTAATTAAAACATCTCGTGACAGGGTTGCAAACAACCATGATTGAACGATTTGGTCATTTTTTTAACCAATGATGATACTGAGGATTTGATGTCTCTCTAAGACGTGTAGTAACAATATTTGTAACATTAGGCATAGAAAACACCAATTGAGAAGCTAAGGAAGACATATGTGATGATGTGGAACTAAAACTTGGCAAACGTGATTATGAACCTTGAGGAAGAGGTGAGACCCCTGATTGACCAGAAAAAGCAGGAACTGCATATTCTGGCGTGACAGCAGCAAGGTCTGGGACTGCGGCAAAACTGGACGAGTTCGTATTGGCTCTGGCATATTAAAGAGTCTGAAAGATTCCAATGGTGGTGCAATTGAAAGTTGAGACATGCGAATATCGTTGGTCAACAAAGGCTGCTCCATGTTGGATTCCACGGGCGCCATGTTGTGAAGTAAAGGTGCGACTAACATTTGAAGGGATAAGGGAATGTGCTGCAACGGTGTGCCAGAGAGAACAGACTGCACTAAAGTCTGTTGCGCAGTCACATCAGAGGAGGACGGAAGAGATGCTTCAGATGTTTGTTGCGTCATATAGGAAGAGGTAGGCTCGGCCGTGTTGAATCTCTAGTTGGCGTTTGATACCATATACAGAAACAAGAATTAGCAAATAATGGCTTAACCTTATGGGGAGCTTCAACCTTATATTTATAATAATAGAGGTTTGTGGAATTACAAATATGTCTTGGAACTATGCATTATTACGAATTGTATTCAAGTTTTATCTATTCTAAAAAATTATATATTTCTAAACAAAAAATTTGATTTGTCATACGTTTAAACACACATGTGCAACCATCAATAATATTAAACATAAAAATATTGTTTTAAAATTTCCTTCTAGTTATCTCTTAGATATTAGGACTCTTGTTGACGTCTATGATTTATCCAAACCTAAGATAAACTAAGTTCAATTAGTCCTACTTAATTCTGTTTGAGCATTACCTAAGAATGCTTATAATCCGCATATTTGTATAACACTTTTAGAACATTTTCTAAAACAATATGCAATATGTAATCTCTAGTTTTTGTAGTAGAAGATATGTATAGTTTTTATGCATAGATCCATACTATAAATATGTCATGTAATGATATATGTATGAATCTAAAATAACCAACAGTAACACATAATCGAGAAGCTTGCGAGCTTTACGAGTCGAGTATGTATATAGCTTGAGTTTAATTTGGTCGCACACAATGATTGGTCATATTTTTATCCAAAACCACAACTAGTTATATTGTTGCCCTGAGAAACTCTATTAGTATAATAAAATACATGTCATTTTTTCAAATTAAAATTGTGTCCGTCAACCATTGAAAAGTAAGAGGACACATTTGGTCAAGCTCGCCTGACCATAATCGTCGTCCGCGCCCGAGCACGTTTCAGTGTCTTCCTGATTGAATTTTTTGATGAAATGTTTTGAGCATGTTGTTCACAAAATTTCAGTCTAAAATTCAATCGGTAAGTCGGTAAAATAAATGAATGAAACATACTACGCTTTACACACACACACACACACACACATATATATATATAGAGAGAGAGAGAGAGAGAGAATTCCCTAAATAGGAGTAAAAAAATTTTGAAATTCCAAAATAAGAGTATCATGGTTTTTATTCCTTGAATATGAGTAAATTTCTGCCAAGTTTGGCATACTAAGCTTTAAAACATGGCATTTTTTTCCAAACCTGGCAGATTACTTCTATTCAGGGAATAAAAAACATGATACTCCTATTTTGGAATTTCTAAACGTTTTTACTCCTATTTAGAGCAATTTCTAATATATATATATATATATATATATATATATATATATTCAATCAGTTATTTATTTAACTCATCGACTTCCCGGTTGAATTTGAAGTCAAACTTTAGTGGAGATAATCTAAACTTGAAGAAGAACATGCTTATAAAATTTCATAAAAAAATACATGAGAGAAGACTTTAAATGACCTTATCCGGACGACGGTCCTCCCACGGACTGCCTGAGGAGATATATATTCTCTTAAAAGTAAAACAAGTCACTCTAGTGGAAGGAGCGGAAGTGCATGTGTGGATTTGGTGATTTGATTTGCACTACAAATAAACAAATAATCTATCGAGACTCTTTGTTTGGTAACCTCTTATTTAAGTTTATCAGATTTATCAATCAACTTTTTATTAAATAAGTAATTTTTTCGCGTGTTGAAATTGTGTAATAATTTAAATAAGTAAGATTGAAGTTACTTTTCTAATAACTAAATTTCCTGAAAAACACTAGTTTAGCTATTTTCGTGTAAGTTTTTATTTATTATATTAATAAAATATATTTCAAATGTAATTTTTTATTATTCAGCAGATTTAACATCACATATCAGAACTCTGATATGTGATGTTAAATCTGTTTCTAGTGTTATCAAAAGGGATAAACTTATTTCAGCAAATTAATCTGTTTCTAGTGTTATCAAAAGGGAAGTTTATTAGATATGTAATATTGGGGCGTATAAAATATGAAGTTTTTTCATGGAAATTACTTAAGTATATTTTATAGACAAAAAATACTAAAATTAATACGGAGTACGAGTATACTGTCATAGTCATTATAACGTAAAACGAACATATTCATCACAACGAAAGTAACTATTATAATCACTAAAGTACAAAATAATCACATTTTTATCCGTTGTTTCAACTTAATCATATATTCATCATTATTTTATAAAATACTCCGTATCATACAATAATTTAATTAGATCAAATTTATTTGGAAACCTACAAAAGTAAAAAAGTGGGACACCTGCGGAGAATGGGGGAAAATAAAGCCTATGAATTCACCTAAAATAGAGTGGACAAAATTGCCTTCTTGTTGGAGTAGGCATCTAAAATTAGAATAATAAAAATATTAAAAGTCACGCGACTTACTTTAACTAAGGGGTGGAATCTTCGATCCTTTCACTTCATGGGGGAATTTCTTGTGTCTCAGTAGCATTTTTAATGTAACAATATGGAGATGACATCTACATCAATATAATACATCATAGAGATGCACATATAAAATTGATATATTGGTAATTTTTTTTGTATTTAAAAGCTTTTCTCAATTTTAATATTTTTTTCACAATGTCAAATACATAATATAAACATTGTTAATAAAAAAGTAATGAATTAAGAATACAGAAGACAGTGAAAGGAAGTAAAAATAGATTCCATTGATTTAAATATGTGTGTGTGTGCCTATATTTTTGATGCGATGAATTTTCATGTGGTGCCCTCAGCCCTCCTAGCTAATAGGAATCGTCGTCCTACACCCTCCATTTGAGTTGCTTTTCGATGGAATTTTGTGGTGAAATTTTGTGAGATGTTCTTTATGAAGTGTAGATTATATCTACCAAATTACATATTAAAATTCATTCCGGAAATTAATTAAATAAATTTTTTTAAAACACCATTCTTTATATACATTATATAAAAGGCGCAATGTTTTAACCAATTATCAACAACCAGGGGCTTTTCCAAAAATTCGAGTTGGACTAGGATGAAGAGTAATTATACTAGATTTAAATATTGGCGTGGTGAGCTCAAAATAAAAATTAAGAAAAAAACACTAAGAAATTGAAGAAGAAGCAGAACAGTTGCCCCTAACATAGATATTAAGTTATTCATATTTTAAGTATTTCTAACAAGCTCTAATTTGTGTGTTTCTTAAGTACGAGGACATATATGATTCAGGACTTAATGATCAAAATTTTTATGAAGTAGCATATGACTCCCTTATGAAGTCATATGGATATATGTGGCTGATTAATAGTCATTCATTTGTATAATGGACAGTCCCACTTTAAAAATGAGTGGATATGAGGTGTCCACCTATGCCATATGACTCCCTTTTATGGAGTCATATGCTACTTCATAAAATTTTCTTTTAACGATAGTAAAAAGGTTTATTTGATAGGTTATTTTCACAATTTTATCTAGTACAATGTCATATAGAAACTTTTGATAGACGCGATTATTCATTGAAGAATTACAATAATGAAGTTTAATTTCAAAAAGTGACTATTTTATCATATGTGTTGGGGCAATGAGATATTTCCTGCCAACAATATGCACAAAAGTATGTCTAATAAAGTAATAAAATAGGAATATTATTATGAATGTAATTTTGTTTACATTATGCCACTATAAATTATGTATATCATTCTCAATATATTTTTGTCATTATCAATTATGATCGGATCAGTGACGTCATCATTGAGACTCCTACCGTGAAATATATCATTGTGACAACCCACAAGTTTTTTAAGATGTGACTATTTTAGCAAGAATATCAAAAACTATAAAAAATATCACTCCACTGGTGGTTGCAACAATGGGTGGAGGGGGCAAGGGCGGGATAGGTGGAGGTAATAGATAGGTCTTGGCAAATTATATCATGAGATCGGTGTACCATGCACATGTTATAACGATCCCAAATACGGTACCGTTTTTATAACAAACGGAGCGTACATGGCAATTTGTTGGACGGTGGCATGCTCTCTCCACTCACACATACCCCACTTACGTTTTTCTTTTGCCTTTTCATGTTTTACTGTTAATTTTTTCATCATCAAATGCTATCATGTTTCTACTAATTTTTTAATGTAAGAGTACTTAAACTATTACAATTTTGTGATCAAATTTTCATCCTTTCAAGCAAATTAATAACTTTTTCTTTCTCGCTTAGTCCTTGTTGATACACTTTTCCATTTTTTATACAACCAAAAATTAATTTTTTTTCTTCAAAATAAATAATTTTTATATTTATACACTTATTTGTAATATATTTTTCATATTCACACTTTTTCCTATAATGTATTTATTATCTCTCTTATATTTTTTAGTGTTTTTTAGACATTAAATTTGGTAATTTTTTTTTTACATTTGATAAAGTATGAGATTACACTTTCATATGTGATTTATATTTCTACATGTGTGGGTTATGTTTATTGACAAATTTTGAAGTTACATTTGATAATATATGAAGTTACATATTCTTGTACGTGAATTACATATTTTTATGACTGAATTACATCTTCATACGCGCGAGTTACATTTAGACTTACCTCAACAAGTTACATTTTGCATTCACCTAAGTTAGATTTTCCATCAACGTGAATTACATTTTCATAATACGAGTTGCATCACAAAATAAACCTCTGCTATTGAAACAAAAAAATCATTTCTTTGCATAATTTTTCCCCCCCAAAAAAAAAAAGTTTTGGCAAAAATATTTTTTTAAGAAACATTTTTGTATGGCCTTAAATATTAAATACAAAACATATTTTTACGTAAAGTAATTGAGCAATGAGCTTAGGCTCCTTTTCATTGTTTACATTTGATAGTATATATGAAGTTACATCTTTTTATGGACGAGTTACACAATTTTATGCGTGATTCACATCTTCTTGTGCGCGAATTACACTTAGATTTGCCTTAACAAGTTACATTTTGCATACACCTAAGTTAGATTTTTCCACCAACACGAGTTACAATTTCCATAACACTAGCAGTTACATACCAAAATAAACCCCACCTATTGAAACAAAAAATTCATTTTTTTGCAAAAAAAAATGTTTTTTTGGCAAAGAAAAGATATTTAAAAAAATATTTTTATGGCCTTAATATTAAAGACAAAACATATTCACTACTTATGTAAAGTAATTGAGCAATTAGACCACTTTTTTTCATGGTTGACATTGAAACCAATGTTTTATTTCTTCTTATCCATATTAGAAAAGTTACATCTCAACTTGCCTGCAGTAACATTGCATATCAACGTGATTTACATTTCATTACTCAAAAGTTACATCACCCTGTTACTGAGAACAAAAAAAAATTATTGTTCATGTGTGTTACTGTCCACATGTGAATTAGTTGTGGGAGCACCATGCTCATCGTGGGCTGCTCCCACGGTATACCAACGGATATGTCTTGGTCTTCATAATTTGCTTTTGTATTATAAATAAGTTTATTCAAATTATCTTTATAGTATTAGTCATTTATTAAAAAAACAGTATTGGTCATTAGCTTTCAATCATTCCGTGTATCAAACACTAGTTGAAATATATAAAATTGAACTTTTCATGCCAACCCTCCTTTTTCACACATTGGGTTACATTTCTTTACGGCTTTATCGTCAAGTTTTGAGTACACTCTTTTTATAACGAGATATTATGTGGTATCGTCCTCTCTCGCTGTCATTAAATAAATGATGTAACATGTGTGCATACATAATTCAATAGTCCAATAAGATCATATATTATATGGATGTAATTAATTTAATGCTTGTGATTGTATAATGAGACAGAGTTGTATAAATATTACTATCCGTACTTTTTTATATTGACACTGATTTGATAAGGATTGACCGATGATTTCACGCCAAATAGCTCATACTAAAATGTTTTTGCCACAAATTTTGCATTTCCATGTCAAATCCTTTATAAATTTTGCAGAATTTTTGCTTAAAATCTATGTCAATCCCGTATTTTTTGTAGTGTTATTAACTAAACCTCATGTGGTTATAATTTACTCTCGGTCAAGTTTTATTTTTAAATATTTAATATACTTATTAACTTACTCTCGAATGTAGTGATAGTGGGTATCAATGTGCTTGCTACGATCATAGAATACCGGATTGTTTCCCAATGCTATTGCCGACTTATTATCCACATATATCTCCGTAGCTTCCTTTTGTGGCATGCCTATTTCCTTGAATAGATTTCGAAGCTATATAGCATGACAAACACATGAATTGGCGGCAACATATTCAGCTTCACATGTGGAGAGGGTCACAATGGGTTGCTTCTTTGAACTCCAAGTAAAAGTCGTATTACCCAAAAGAAAGACAAATCCGGTGGTACTCTTGCGATCATCAACGTCTCCGGCCCAATCACTATCACTATACCCAACAAGCTTGAAATCTTTACAAGAATTGTAAAACAAGCCAAAGTTAAGAGTACCTTTGATGTAGCGAAGAATTTTCTTGGCGGCCTTCCAATGAGAGGTTCTTGGATCTTCCATATACCGGCTAAGTGTTGGGTGTGTTTGGAAAAACAAAGAAAATTAATTAATAAAGATTAATTAAATAAAATGACTTAAAGAAAAACAAGAAATGAGATGAAGCAGAATAAACCAAAGCTCGTGCTACGCACGATTTCCTTAAAACGTATTTGTTGCCTCCCGGGGTGCTAGGAGCATTGCAACGATCATTTCCCAGGATACGATGACTTCGAACAATAGTTTAGCACTCAAACTAAAGTTCCAACGAACGTGAACAAAAGCAGAACACCGAAGGAGTTTGTATGGAGTGCTAGAGGTTCTGTTTTAGCTATGAAAATACGTGAACGAAGTGTATGAAAGGTTGTGTCTTTGCAAAGCACCTACTAGCCTTTTATAGGGGTGGATTAAGGTGTGTTAATGGTTGTTTAAGGGTTTATGATCGTTGGACATCAATGTTGGGCATTTATGTGCATGGAGCAAAAATTAAAGTAGGAACGTACTGGAAGAACAAAAATTAACGTTATCTTTAGAAGAGAGATTTTCGGACGGCATTCGTGTGTGCAGGTCGCCCGCACACGCAAGTCGCAGTTTTTGTTCTTCGGTTTCGGGATTGGATTCACTTTTAATACACTTTTAACACACTTTTTCCAACACTAAGCTCTTGAACATTGTGGGCTCCACTTTTTCTTCATCACCAAACTTAGATAATTTTACACCACAATCCACCGGGGTATTGATTGGATTACAATCATCCATTTTAAACTTTTCAAGGATTTTCTTTGCATATCCTTCTTGACCGATAAAAGTTCCACTTTCCCTTTGTTTCACCTCAATTCCCAAATAATAAGACATTAAGCCCATATCGGTCATTTCAAATTCTTGACTCATTGCCTTTTTGAAATTCTCAAATAAATTGGGATTATTTCCCGTGAATATTAGATCATCAACATAAAGGCAAACAATCAAGATATCTCCATTTCCCTCCTTTTTGACATAAAGAGCATGTTCATGGGGACATTTTATGAAATTATTTGCTTGGAAATACTTATCAATTCTAGTATTCCAAGCTCTTGGGGCTTGCATCAAACCATAAAGTGCCTTTTTCAACTTTAGAACTTTATCTTCATGCCCTTTTATTTTATATCCCGGTGGTTGTTCTAAATAAACTTCTTCTTCTAACTTTCTATTTAAAAATGCGGACTTCACATCCATTTGAAATATTTTCCATTTATTTTGAGCCTCCAAAGAAATTAAAAATCTTATTGTTTCCAAGCGGGCAACGGGAGCAAATACCTCTTCATAGTCGATACTGACTCTTTGGTTGTACCCTTTTGCAACCAACCTTGCTTTGTACCTTTCAACTTCCCCCATGGCATTTTTCTTGGTTGCTTTCCAAATAAACATCCTTCACAGAATTGATTAGCTTCATTGATTTTGGGCAAACCTTTCACCATACCTTTATCACTCAACAATTTTAAACCTCCAAAATTAAGATGCCCAAACCTCAAGTGCCAAATCCAAGATGAATTTTTAAAACATGCTTTCAAACATTTTGGACCCCCATTATCAATGTTTAATGAAAAGATTCTATTTCTTGACATTGGTACTTTAGCAAACAAACCCCCATTTTTATCTCTCATCAAAAGGGTGTGATCTTTCATATGAATGTCATATCGCTTTTCTAAAAGTTGCCCCAAACTTAAAATGTTTGATTTCATGTTGGGCACATAGTAGACGTTAGAGATCAAATCATTTTTTCCCATTTTTTAACCGGATTAAAATTTTCCCCTTTCCTTTTACCGGTATTTTTGATTCATCTCCAAAGTAGATATTTCCGCTTACCGATTCATCAAACCCGACAAACATATCTTTCTTCCCGCACATGTGGTTGCTTGCTCCCGTATCTAAGTACCATGTCGTTTTGGTGTCACTTTCTCCTCCTTTATGGGCCATCAACAATGTTGAATTTTCTTCTTCTTCTTTGGCTAGATTTGTTCGCTCCTCAACTTTATTTTTTGCCAATCTACAATCGGAGGCAAAGTGACCAAATTTTTGACAATTATAACATTGAACTAGATACTTATCATACCTTGGTCTTGAAAAAGCTCCTCTTCCACGGCCTCTTGATTGATAGAAATGTGGACTTCTCTCTTCTTTGTTGAAAGTTTTATAACCTCCTCTTCCATAGTCTTGGCTTCGACCGCGCCCTCTTGAACTTTGACTTCTTCCCTCTTGAAAAATCTCTTTATTTTTTAAGGTGAGCTTGGTTTGAAGGGCTTGCTCCAATGGCTCTTGCTTTATTCTCTTCTTGAGTTTTTCTTCATGAGCTTGAAGAGATCCCAAGATATTATCAACCGTCATTGTTTCTAGATCTTTAGATTCTTCTATTGCGACAACTATGTAATCGAATTTTGAATCTAAAGACCGTAGAATTTTTTCAACCACACGATTGTCTTTGATTTCTTCTCCATATCTTCTTAGTTGATTCACGACGGTTTGAACTCTTGAGAAATAGTCGTCAATAGATTCCGAAGAGTTCATGTTTAAAGATTCAAACTCACCTCGAAGACTTTGAAGTTTTACTTTCTTCACCTTATCTACTCCTTTGAATGAATTCTCTAATATCTCCCAAGCTTCTTTGCTTGTAGTTGCACATGCCACCTTTGCGAACATGACTTCATCCAAAGCTTGATGAATGATAGAGAGTGCCTTTTGATCTTTCTTCTTAGTACTCCTCAAGGCATTCTTTTGATTTTGATTTAAGGCGTTGATGTCTTCGGGTTCCTCAAAGCCTTCCTCTACCATGTCCCACACATCTTCTGAACCAAGTATTGTCTTCATGCGAATGCTCCAATTATCATAATTCTCCTTTTTTAATGGAGGAACTTGAAGAGAACCGGCCATTTTAGGGTGATGACCGAACGGCTCTTATACCACTGTTGGAAATAAGTGAAGGAAGATTTGGGAAATTGGGATGCTAAATTAGAAATATTATGGAAGAGATATTTGAACAAAGGGGAAGAACTCTTTTTATTAGAACAACTCAATTTGCTTGACTTGCTTGATACAAAGTGGGGGTAGGAGACCTCTATTTATACTAGCACAAAGATATCTAGAATCTTCTACGATTAATACATTCTACACAATTCTACTCAATTAATTATAGGAAAATTCTAGACTACATCTTCTAGAGAAACTCTAGAATTTATTCCTTCTACATTTTTCTATCACTTGGGCCTTCCCAACAACAACTAAAACTAAATATTAATTAAGCCCAAAAACAAGTTTAATTTTCAACATTGTCGGACTGTAGAGAGCCTAGATCATTTTATGAACATTTGAAACGCTTTACAGAGATTTGATATGTGTTGCATATCAAAAGCAGAAATGAATAAAATATGCGCCCTTAAGAATTCTAAATATTTTTAAAGTTGGATTGACTTCAGATTTACGGTGCGGCTGTTTAAATTATATGAAGGGGCATACGAATATGAAGTAAATCGTTTAAATCCACTGTGCCATTGAAGCATAAAAATTATTTTAAAAGTGTATGGATCCACATCAACTTCATGTGTCGTCTATTTATGTGATGTGTCCATTTTTATAAGGTACAATGCACATTACCATTAAAGATGCTCTAAGTGCATTATACCCAATAGTTATATGATTGATATGAGGTCATATTGTGGATGTTAAGACCCAACTCAATAAAAAAAGTGTCTTCCCGTAAAAAGTGCGACCGACTCCACTTTTAATCATCACAAGTGCACTATAGTACAAAAGAAGTCCACTTTTTGCAAAGAAGTTTAATTTTTTTATTTACAAAAATGTCATTGCGTTTTTATCCACTTTAATGCATTTTTAATGTATTTAGAGTCAACAGATCTTATATCCAATGCAATAAATATATTCTTACTTTTCATAATTGAATGAACATTAGAATTGAGAAGAAAATATTTACTTGTCAAGACTTGACTCTAAACCCCATCACCTAAAACTTAAGTCACACACAGTCGTGAGCACAACATGTGCAATCTGTGCATGGCACTTAAATTCCCTTTGCCTTCCTACGCATGACGTGCACGGCTCGTGCGCGACCCGTGCTCGACTTGTGTTGTGTACAAAAACATGCTACATATAATCATATTACCTTTATAGTATTGGCTCTTAGCTTTTTTGCATTGCGTGTATCAAATGCTAGTGTATTCATATTAAGTTCAGATTTTCATGAATAAACTCCATTTTCACACAACCATTGACTTACGTTTCTTTACGTCTTGACTGTCAAATTTCATTGTTTTAAGTATTGTCCTTTTATGAAGAGATTATGTGATGCTGCAGTTTTTCACTCCCATTAAATATATATATAATCTAATATCTATGTGTACAAAATTCAATAGTTCATAAATTTAGATTATTATGAATTCACTAGTTTTATACTTGTATATGAATGTATAAAAGTGCTAATTAGGTCTATCACTGTGAATATTGAGTTCGATTTTTCTGTGTACCGAATGGAGACCTGAACTTGATTGGTTTTCAACGTCGAGAAGGTGAATAGTCATTTATATTCATTTCTTCGGAAAAATAGTATTGCCCATTACCAAACGGTGACCAGAAATATTGTTCTGACCGAAAAATATGACCGGGGTAGGTGGAGGGGGTGGACATGTCTTGGTCCTTACAATTTACTTTTGTGTTACAAATAAATTTAATCATATTAACTTTAAAGTATTAGTCATTTCTTCGAAAAAATAGTATTGACCTTTAGCTTTCCATCATTGCACGTATCTATCAAACGCTAGTTGAACTATATAAATTGTTGGGATCCCTACTTAATTGGAGAGGTTCTAGAAAATTCTAGAGCTTTCTAGAGAAGTATAGAATTTTCTTGAACGTTGCGGAGAATCCTAGAGAAGTCTAGAACTCTCTAGAAGCTTGCGGAATAATGTGGAATCCTCTGGAATATTCTAGAGATGTGTGGAACTTTCCGGAAGCTTATGGAAGAGTATGGAAGCATATGGAAGAGAATGGAGAGGTGTAGAGATTCCTTGGAATTCTCTAGAATAGGTAGTCATGTAGATCATTCTAGAGAAATATTCTCCACCACTCATTATGGAGGTGGAGTAGTATAAATAGGAGTAAGAGCCTCCATTCCTAACTATCCCAATCCTAATCCTAGCAATCCTAGCAAGAGAGAATCCACTTCCTAGAGTGAGAAAGCTAGAGAGTCAGAGAGCCTCTTTGAGAGAGAAGAGAGTTAGCTTGGGAAGGTCATATCCTCAAGCTTGAGTGAGCCACCATTGAGTGAGACAATTTTGTAACATTCTTGTAAATCCTACTATTCTTTTGTATAGTGGAAGAATCTCCATATTGGAGAATTTAAATCGTGTGCTCCCATTACTACCTTAATTCCTAAGTGCCTATCTTAACTTCACGAAGTGGGAAATTCCGGAGTTTTTCCCAACAGTGGTATCAGAGCCAGGTTCGTTTGAGGTTGTCATCAGCTCGTGTAGTTCAAGATGGAGGATAGCGTCGCCCATGATGGATACATGTTCAAGCTAACTGCCAACAACTACTCATATTGGAAGCCAATGATGGAAGACCATTTATACTGCAAGGATTTGCATGAGCCCATCATCTACAAAGAGAAGGTGGAAGGCAAGAGTGACGCTCAATGGGAGCTACTGAATCGGAAAGCCGTTGCTATGATCCGTAAGTACATCGACAAATCCCTCTTCGAGCATGTGTCCACTTACATGAATGCTTATGAATTATGGACAAAACTTGAGTCCATGATTCAAAAGAAGACACCTCGTAATAAAGCCAATTTAGTTCGACGGTTGGTGAAATTGGAGTATAAGGATGGTCAAAGTATGATTGAACACTTGAATAACTTCAAGGGGCTCGTAAATCAACTAACAAAAATGGAGATGAAGATTGATGATGAGTTGCAAGCCCTTCTACTCCTTAGTTCCTTGCCAGAAAGTTGGGACACACTCGTGGTTACACTTAGTAACTCAGCTCCGGAAGGAAAGCTAACAATGGACACCGTCAGTGATAGTCTTCTTGGCGAAGAATCAAGAAGAATGGAACGAGGTGAGTCTATGCATCCTGAGGATAATGTTATCGAGATCCGGGGTAGGAATGAGACTCGTGGACGCAGTAAAAGCCGAGATCCGCAACAATCTCGAGGTAGGTCCAAGTCACGCTCGAAGATCACATGCTACTACTGTGGAAGAATGGGCCACAGGAAAATGGAGTGTCGATCCTTCAAGAGAGACCAGAAGGCCGGTAATGTCAAACCAGTCCAAGTCACCCCAACGAAGAAGCAAGAAGAGAAGAGTACCACTGTCGTAGTCACAAAAGAAGATCTGTTATATCTCGTTGGAGAAGGTAATATCCTAAACATTGCTTGTGATGATAGTTCCTGGATTATCGATTCTGGTGCTTCGTTCCATGTCACTCCCTATGGAAGTTTCTTCTCATCCTACCAAAGTGGTGACTTCGGTACGGTTCAAATGGGAAACCAAGATAGGAGCAAGATCGTTGGGATAGGAGACATCGTCCTGACAACTAGCACCGGATGCAAGCTTGTTCTCAAAGATGTGAGGCATGTTCCGGCCATGCGCCTCAATCTTATCTCCGCTGGAAAGTTAGATGATGCTGGTCTGATGAATTACTTTGGTGAAGGAATATGGAAGCTCACCAAAGGAAGTCTAGTCATGGCTAGAGGAAAGAAGAAAGGATCGTTGTATGTGATGCAAGCTAAGCTCTGCAAAGGAGAGGTAAATATAACCACTGATGACATGGAAGTATGGCATAAACGACTTGGTCACATCAGTGAGAAGGGCCTTCACATACTTGCTCGGAAACAACTCCTCCCGGACGTGGAAGGTAAGTCACTTGATCCTTGTGCACACTGTTTAGCTGGAAAACAACAAAGGGTTGCTTTCCAAAGATCTTCTCTGCCCACAAGGAGAAAGAACATCCTCGACCTTGTACACACCGATGTGTGCTCAATGTCCGAGAGATCTATTGGTGGTGCGTTGTACTTTGTGACCTTCATTGATGATCATTCAAGGAAGGTATGGTTGCACCTGTTAAAATCAAAGGATCAAGTACTTGACGCTTTCAAGGAATTCCACGCTCTTGTAGAACGTGAGACAGGAAGGAAAATCAAGTGTGTACGATCTGATAATGGAGGTGAGTATAGAGATCCCTTTGAAGCCTATTGCAAGAAATGTGGCATTAGGCTAGAGAAGACTCCACCCAAGACATCACAATTGAATGGGCTAGCTGAGAGAATGAATAGAACTATTGAAGAAAGAGTC